ACACATACATATATATATATATATATATATATATATATAGTAGTTCTTCGGCTAGTGTTGTTTTAAGTAACAAAACCACAAAGGTGTTCGACGTTGCACTGCCATCTATAGACGTGGACCAGCATCATAATTTTTTATAGTTGCATGTTTAAAACCAGTGCTGGGTAGTAAGTGGTTACATGTAATCTGTATTATGTAACCAGATTCCAAACATTAAGTACTTGTAATTAGAGTATATTACATTTTAAAATACTCAGATTACAGTTACTTTTTATGGATTACATGATTAGCCTACATGTATTTCGTAATGTTAATATAAAAAAGGGGATATATTTTCTTTTTGCTTTTTATTTTTATATGTATGATATATGTTAAATGGTGAGTTTAAAACAAGTTAGATAAAAAGTAATCTAAAAAGTAGTCAAAATACATTACCTAAAATGAGTGACCAAGATTACGTTACTACCGTTTTCAATTTCATGTAATCTGTAATGGACTACAATTGGTAAGTAATCTACCCAGCACAGTAAATTAAAACTAGTTTTGGAGAGTGGTTTACTCAATTCCCTTACCTGTCCGACAAAAATAGGAGCAACTATGGCATCACGTCTCATTTTCTCCATCAAATCTTCCTTTGCAATTTTTTTGTCTTCGCGCACTCTGGACCTTTTCAGCTCCTTCAACTGTACAGGTTGATTCTCCCATTGTTTACTCTAGTAAAAGCACAATGTGTGTGTTTTTTTTGTTTTTTTTTGCTCTTTGCATGACCAAACAACACAATGCTACTAATGTCTCTTCAGAAGCGCATTCAATGAAACAGCGTTCGTCTCGTGATTTCAAAATGACAATATTCAGTCAGATGACCCTTTACAAAAGCAATATATTTCTTAATGTGTAAAACTTTAATTAGTACTGAACTACTGAAAGCACCTGCAATTTCCACGACTTTATCATTCATTCATTACTGCTGCATAAGCATTTTAAAATCAACTTTACAAAGAGCAATTTTAACCAAAGAAATATTCTGCATATGTGGGTACACCATACTTGAATTGCTCTTAAAAACACTTTAAAAAAACTTTTTTTTTTTTAAAAAACACCATTTAAAGGGGTCATATGATGCGATTTCAAGTTTTCCTTTCTCTTTGGAGTGTTACAAGCTCTTGGTGCATTTGCTATTGACTGTTCAAATGCGGAGCTTTGCACAGCGCAGAGTAACGCGTCGTGTGTGTGTGTGAGAGAGAGGGGAACAGGGTCACATCACAGGAGAGTGAACTGTCTGTCAGAAATCATAACACGTCAGCTGTCTTAACCGCGGCTTGTGTACTGCATCATCACTGTGTCTGTCACGCGACTCTGTTGCCCTTTCGGGCTTGAACTGATGGTAAAACTAACGACATTAACCGTCTTTGAAAGCTGACGCTCGCGATTATGGTAAGGGGCGTTGCATTTCCGACACGTACATGTGGTGTTCGGCCAATCACAATGCACTGGGTCAGCTGGCCAATCAGAGCAGACTGCACTTGTCAAAAGTGTAGTTTAAAATGAATTTTTCTTCCCCCAGACAAGACACACCCATGCTTCAAAATAGTACATAGAGTTTATTTTGTTCTCTCAACAGAGTTGTTAAAATATGTTGTCATTCTTGATGAAGTGCAACAGTAGAAGGCAAACAGGATTCTTTACATGCTAGATAGTCATTCACACACAACCATGATTTGACTTGGCATCAATTCCAAATAAAATCATACTTGCACTTGACCTGAAAGCGGGTGCTAGCAATACACAGGATTGCCCAAGCAGTAAAAACACGTTCCTTTAAGAAACAGGGAGAGAACGCTAAAACCAAATGCTAGGTTTCTCCTTTCCCCAATTCAAGTAGTTTTGTTTTTCTACAACAAATTCAAGTTCAATCTCAGAAATAAAAGGAAGAGTCCAGATAAAGAAGAATAATCACACTCCTGGGTCCTGGAGTGAGGGATGAAGACAGAGAACAGGGAAGCCGTCTGTGTTGTTAACCAGGGTGACTTGCATCAGCAGTGAATGACGTGGGAGCTGCCTCACTGACGTGGTCCTGCGTAACGCCCCTCGCTAGGTCCTGCGCCTCGACCGGCTCCAAAACTGGGTTTTTGAGCCATGCCTCCACGGGCGGGCGGTCCCCTTGACCCGCCTACCCTGTCGCGTGGTCCCCCCGGGCCTCTGGGGCGGATGTCCCGCCTGTCACCTTCACGGGCCGAGCGGGTCTTCTTTTCCTCTACATTCAGCCGAACGTCTCCTCGCAGTTTAACAGGCTACGGAATAAAAAATTTTAAAAAAAAAAAAGGTAATTCTGATGATCCTGCATTAGTCAAAACATCCTGTTTGGCACAACATCTGAAAGTCATGCATACCCGATTGCTGAGGATCTTCTGCACGGGCTCAGCATCATCAAATACCACGAATCCAAAGTTAGGCAGCTTTCCGCCACTGTTGATTCTCAGCTCAAGAACAGTGCCGTACTCTGTGCAAGAGAAATAAGCAGGCAAGTCAATGCAGGAGGAGCTGATCTACATTTTAAATTCAGTGGGCCTCATTTATCAATCTAACGTAGAAACGAGGGCAGATCTGTGCGCACAAATCAACTTATGACAGAGTTCACGTGTGATTCATGAAACATTCGTATGCCGCCAATCTCATTGTACGAATGATCGCACGTTGATAAATGTGGTGGCAGAAAACAATTGTCATTTGAATATCACGCCCCTAAAAACACCCCGGTTTTGAAGCCTCGCCCCTAGTTTACAACACAGAAACAAAACCCGGCCAAAAAGAGGAAGTAATCTCATGAAAGAGAAATTGATCTTACTCCAAAAACACCCGTTAACCTTGTAATTGCAAACAGAGAACAGGGAAGCCGTCTGTGTTGTTAACCAGGGTGACTTGCATCAGCAGTGAATGACGTGGGAGCTGCCTCACTGACGTGGTCCTGCGTAACGCCCCTCGCTAGGTCCTGCGCCTCGACCGGCTCCAAAACTGGGTTTTTGAGCCATGCCTCCACGGGCGGGCGGTCCCCTTGACCCGCCTACCCTGTCGCGTGGTCCCCCCGGGCCTCTGGGGCGGATGTCCCGCCTGTCACCTTCACGGGCCGAGCGGGTCTTCTTTTCCTCTACATTCAGCCGAACGTCTCCTCGCAGTTTAACAGGCTACGGAATAAAAAATTTTAAAAAAAAAAAAGGTAATTCTGATGATCCTGCATTAGTCAAAACATCCTGTTTGGCACAACATCTGAAAGTCATGCATACCCGATTGCTGAGGATCTTCTGCACGGGCTCAGCATCATCAAATACCACGAATCCAAAGTTAGGCAGCTTTCCGCCACTGTTGATTCTCAGCTCAAGAACAGTGCCGTACTCTGTGCAAGAGAAATAAGCAGGCAAGTCAATGCAGGAGGAGCTGATCTACATTTTAAATTCAGTGGGCCTCATTTATCAATCTAACGTAGAAACGAGGGCAGATCTGTGCGCACAAATCAACTTATGACAGAGTTCACGTGTGATTCATGAAATATTTGTATGCCGCCAATCTCACAGCCTAAACACGGCTTTATACTTCACTCATGTTCTAATATCAGTGTAAAATCCTTCACATGTGCAAAAATGTTTGTTTGGGCGCTGCACGCTGATTTTACAGCGGACCTTTTAAAATAAACAGTGTAACTTATGTTTGGTTGACTGCATTTTAGTTTGATGATGATTGGCTGAAATGTCAGGCAACGGTAGAACTAATGTTGTTTGCGTGTGCGTGAAGCGCCTGTGTGATCAGATGGATTAAATCAAATAAAGATATAAAAGAAATAAAATGCATTAAGAGTGTCACAAAAACGAGCGTAGCCTATAGGCCTACTTGTTGCACAGTTTTTTTTTCCTTTTGTTTGTCTGTTAATTATATTATAGCCTAGGAAAATAAGTAGTTATAAAATTATATATTAAACTATAAAATAAAACAAAAATTAGGCTATAGTGACAAACAGCATACAAATGTGAAGCAAAACTGAAACTGCATTGGGCTCACGAGCCTGTCTCATACCACAAGAATCCAAATGTTTCCATTTTTGCCATATTTGTAACATTTGTTTGCATAACTATTATTCATTATGTAGCCTAAACATGGCTTTATACTTCACTCATGTTCTAATATCCGTGTAAAATCCTTCACATGTGCAAAAATGTTTGTTTGGGCACTGCACGCTGATTTTACAGTGGGCCTTTTAAAATAAACAGTGTAACTTATGTTTGGTTGACTGCATTTTAGTTTGATGATGATTGGCTGAAATGTCAGGCAACGGTAGAACTAATGTTGTTTGCGTGTGCGTGAAGCGCCTGTGTGATCAGATGGATTAAATCAAATAAAGATATAAAAGAAATAAAATGCATTAAGAGTGTCACAAAAACGAGCGTAGCCTATAGGCCTACTTGTTGCACAGTTTTTTTTTCCTTTTGTTTATCTGTTAATTATATTATAGCCTAGGCCTATTATATACTTTTTATTTTATAGACTTAAATTAGTTTTCTCCTTTCACAGAAGCACTGCAGGTGCATGATGCGATGATTGAATCCTCATGGTCTTGTTTACGCTGCTATTCGCGCATATAAAGCTAAAGCCTATTGATAAATTCCAAGTTTTGCATTGAAATGACCGTACGGCCAATTTTCTGTCGTACGCTCGTTTCCTAAATGAGGCCCAGTACGAGTTGAAAAATGATGCTTGTGTCACTTACGTTCAAAGAACTCCTTGAGCTCGTTCTTATCCACATCGTGAGGTACGTTTCCAACAAAGAGTTGGTGGCTGTCGGGATACCGGACCGTTCGCCGCACCTCTGGTTCCCCACTCTCACCCTCCCGCACTGCTAACCAGAGATTAAACATTAGATAAATGACACTGCCATCTGCATATGATGCATGTTCTTTCAGGCTGCTAGTGGACCAGCCATGATTTGTGCTTTTAATTTAACTTTCAATTTTGTGCGAGATGCTATTTATATGCAGACATGAGGTTCATTAAAATGCTCAGGCTGCCTTTAGCAGTTTTGCCAGAGCCAATAAGATTTTGATGGATTGCAAAATCAGCTATTCAGGTCTTTCGCAAAAATTAAAAAATGCATCAAAATGTTCACATGCACCCATACTAGATTGATTACACTTTTGCACACCTCCTGGTCTTGCTGTTCTGTTGGCTGGAGAGGGTCCTGGTCTTTGATCGCGTGGTCTCTGGTCTCTCTGGGGTCTCTGTGCTGTGGTCTGTGTTTCTGCTTTCACCTCGACACGCGGCTGTGGATCACAAAAATACAGCTAATCACCTAGTGCAATAAAACTATATAGTGGTTTCATGCTAAATAAATAAAAAATAAAAAAAATCTACAACCTATTATAGTTGTACAAAAAACCCACTAGAATCTACAGCAAGTTTTAAAATGTAGAGGCATTCGTTTATAGAAAAGCAAAATAGCCTAATGGTAAGTAGTAGAAATTTGGGGTCTGATTCCATCGATTGAAAAATACTTTTACCCACAGTAGTTCATTTCATACAGTTTGTTCAGACACTGATCCCATTGATTTTGCCATTTGCTGATGACTTAAGATATTGCAGTTTTAAGAACAGATGGTCATAGGAGTTGTATAAAAGAAAAAAGAAAATCCAAACAATAAACATTGAATATTAAAAGTTACAAGATTTTAAATTGACAAAATTATTCTTAAGAGACCTTAAAATCGTCATCTACTTGCATTAAAAGCAGAGCAGTCCATAAAAATACTTAATATAACGTAAAAGAAAATGCAACTTCCCAGTCTAATAGCCAGGATAAGCTTAAAACAATATTCCTTGAGAGTGAAAGAGTTGGTTGTGAACATCTACCGAGTGGGGGAATCTTAAGCTGTCTGGCAAGAGCTGCCACTGACCGGTCATATGACCAGTCACTGGCTGGTGACAGCTGGCAGTCTGATTCTGGCAGGTCACGTGACCCGTCAGTCCACCTTGCCAAGTTTCAGCAACCATTGATTTTTGGCAGATTTTCTGTTGCGTCTTCCTCCCTCTCTAGCTCTGGCGAACTACATTAATTTATCATTGTGCATCTGTTGATATTCTTTTACATGATTGATGTTATCCCAATTAAAGCACTCAAATGACCATGATCCTGACTGGTTGGTTACTGCCCCTGGTAATGACCAGTGAATCAGTCAGCCGCAAGAGCGCTCAGAGTTTAACGTGTACCCTACCACTCTCTCTGCAAGGAAATATAATATTGTAGGCTTATGAATGTTTTCTTATTGGTCTATTCTTTAACATGTTCGGCATTTTAGGGAGGTTTATCCCAAATAAAGTGCTCAAATGGCGGTGATCCCGACTTGTGGGTTACTGCCGCTTCTGTGCAGCCAGCCACTTTCAGCTCCAAATTCAACGTGTTGCATATCACTCCATAAAACGTTGATCATGTAAAAAAGTCATATGAACAGATGTACAAAAAAAAACAAAAAAACAAACACTTTACAATAAGGTTCATTAGTTAACATGAACTAAGCATGAACAATACTTCTACAGCATTTATTAATGTTAGCTAATGTTAATTTCAACATTTACTAATGCATTAAAATCAAAAGTTGTGCTTGTTAACATTAATGCATTGTGAATTAAACTAACAATGAACTGTATTTTCATTAAAGATTCATAAATTGTAATAAATGTATTATTCATTGTTTGTTGTTTGTAGCTAATGCATCAACTAACATTAATGTTAACTTACTGTAAAGTGTTACCAAAATAATATTATTCCCGGAGCTAGAGTGGAAGGAGGGCAAAACACAAAGTCTGCCATAAATCAATGGTTCCTGACACTTGCAAAGGAAGTGGACTACCAGCCGCCAGGCAGCCAACCAGAATCAGACTTCCAGGTGCCACCAACCACTGGCAGGTCAGGTGACTTGCCAGTGGCTGGTGCTGCCAGCTAGTTAGAGATTGAACCCCTACTGCATCTACCTGCGCAGATGGGACTCGGACAACATGTGGAGGGACTCCTGTGGCGGGGACCACTCCTCCTGGTGGGAGATTCTTGCTAGTGACTGAAGCCCAAGACGACGGCTGAAAATTAAAAGCATTTGACTTCACAGGTGATCTCATTTATCCGGTTTGTGATGACTGTACATCTTCACAAATACAGGTCTGTTGACACGAGAGGGACCCAACAGACAGTAATGAATGAGGGTGGTCTTACCCGGTTGTCCTCTGGCATGGTGGGTGCCGTGTCAGCAGGTGTGGGCGAAGGGGGAGATCTCTGAATCTTTTCCTCAATGTGAACCTCAGGCTCGCTGACAGGCTCCGGTTTCAGCTCCACAGCTGCTGGCTCAGGCTCCACCTCTGCTTCTGGCTCAGGCTGGGGCTCTGGGGTTACAGACACCTCTTCTTGTGGCCCCTCAGGCTCCACGCTATAAACGCACAAACTTGTATGAAACTTGCAAACTGTCACCCCGCTTTCTTGAGGGCATCATATCGAATAGCGACTTTGACTTCTAACAGAAAACCTGACAAACTACAGGTTACTGAAATGTTCCTTATGTAATGACTGATGAAATATAAAATATGTATGGTTTGTTTTGACCTACAACACACCTGCATAGTTTGCATCCTGCCTTACTCAAATGACTACCAAACAACTAGATTTAATGAGCCGCAAAAATGAATGCTAGTTACCAAGGCGACTGTTCGTAGTACCCAGCAGACTCCTCCTGGACCACTTCAGGCGAATGCACCCGCTCCAGCTCCTCCACATCCTCCTCAGACTCTGTGAACAACAGGAGATAAATGAAGTCATCTACTCACAGCAAGAGCAACTGGGAGACAGATTACTCTGAAGATCCCTGAAATACACCAATAATATCAGCTGCTCACCCTCAGGAGGTTCTGAGTCCGAGTCCCCAAACACTTCATCCTGGTACCGGAAGATATCGTTGTGTACGTAGAACTTGTTTGCAACTGTTCCCTAAAAGATTACAGCAATATAAAAACAATGAATAATTATCTGAAAGGAAACATTTTTTATTAGTGTAAAGGACAAATGTACTTATTTGGCTCTCTTTTTAGCCAGAAATTACTGCATTTTATGAGCTACTTCTTGCACTAATCAAATACTAAACGTCAGAACAAACTGATGCTTCCATAACACACAAAATCCTAGAAAATATGGATATTAAAAACCAACTTAAAAGGTTTAAAGCCGAGGTTACCACACTTTTCAGCCACCAAATGTCTATGACCTTTTTAGACATCTGAGAATACTAGTCAGGGATTATTAATTATTTTAACCCAAACAGATGCTAATAAAATCACCCAGATCAATATGAACAAGCTCAATTGAGTCAATGAATGGAGAAGACTCAATGTGGAAATGGGGAGCGCACAAACTGGACACTACAGCTTGCAAGGAAGCTTTACTCCACACAGGATCAATATCTAGCCAATGATTTTTTCAAGTCCACATGAAATCACAATCGATCCCATTTACTTTGTTAGAGCATATTACTAGTCTTGAGTGAACAATTTATCTGTTAATTGAAAGAAAACATTTGTCTTTGTAAAATTAGTTTCCCCTCTGGAATGGCATTCCTTCAGCTGACGTCAATTTGACGGCTTGGGCAGGACATCCTTAAATAAGTCTAAAGCTATAGGTGACGAAGGGGTGCCCAGTTTTCTTTATTTTTCTCATTCACTATTCAGTTTCTCTCTGAAATACATCACAATCCTGAAGTTGGTTGTAATTTCCAGTTAATGCAGACTTTCAAAAATCTTTGATATTTCCATGACTGCGAGTATCGTTTCCATTAAAACCTACAATGATGCCCATCAACTCACTTTGCAGGTCTTTGGAATTCAGGCTTTGCTCTGTGCAACCTCTGCATTGGCATACGTTCAAAAACAACAGTTTAATTCACCCGAGGTCATGTTAACAATCGGAACTGATAACACATTTATGAAGAAATGTTCATACCTCAGGTGCCAGAACAAATGTCTGCATGAACTTCCTCATGGGCTGCATGTTATTGGAGTCCGAGTCCCCAAACACTTCATCCTGGTACCGGAAGATATCGTTGTGTACGTAGAACTTGTTTGCAACTGTTCCCTAAAAGATTACAGCAATATAAAAACAATGAATAATTATCTGAAAGGAAACATTTTTTATTAGTGTAAAGGACAAATGTACTTATTTGGCTCTCTTTTTAGCCAGAAATTACTGCATTTTATGAGCTACTTCTTGCACTAATCAAATACTAAACGTCAGAACAAACTGATGCTTCCATAACACACAAAATCCTAGAAAATATGGATATTAAAAACCAACTTAAAAGGTTTAAAGCCGAGGTTACCACACTTTTCAGCCACCAAATGTCTATGACCTTTTTAGACATCTGAGAATACTAGTCAGGGATTATTAATTATTTTAACCCAAACAGATGCTAATAAAATCACCCAGATCAATATGAACAAGCTCAATTGAGTCAATGAATGGAGAAGACTCAATGTGGAAATGGGGAGCGCACAAACTGGACACTACAGCTTGCAAGGAAGCTTTACTCCACACAGGATCAATATCTAGCCAATGATTTTTTCAAGTCCACATGAAATCACAATCGATCCCATTTACTTTGTTAGAGCATATTACTAGTCTTGAGTGAACAATTTATCTGTTAATTGAAAGAAAACATTTGTCTTTGTAAAATTAGTTTCCCCTCTGGAATGGCATTCCTTCAGCTGACGTCAATTTGACGGCTTGGGCAGGACATCCTTAAATAAGTCTAAAGCTATAGGTGACGAAGGGGTGCCCAGTTTTCTTTATTTTTCTCATTCACTATTCAGTTTCTCTCTGAAATACATCACAATCCTGAAGTTGGTTGTAATTTCCAGTTAATGCAGACTTTCAAAAATCTTTGATATTTCCATGACTGCGAGTATCGTTTCCATTAAAACCTACAATGATGCCCATCAACTCACTTTGCAGGTCTTTGGAATTCAGGCTTTGCTCTGTGCAACCTCTGCATTGGCATACGTTCAAAAACAACAGTTTAATTCACCCGAGGTCATGTTAACAATCGGAACTGATAACACATTTATGAAGAAATGTTCATACCTCAGGTGCCAGAACAAATGTCTGCATGAACTTCCTCATGGGCTGCATGTTATTGGACAGCTCCCCCAACACTTGCACCACCACTCCCTCGTTCAGAGTGGCGTGAGCATCAACATGCCTTATCTTAGTGTGACAATCACGGAAGCTCAGAGCCATCACCTTCTTATGGATTTCCTGTTCAGAAAAAAATATTGCATTTAGCTACTGCACCGAATCAAAAACAGCAATAAAAATTCACAACACTTGTATTAAAACTCACAGACTGCCCATAGACTGCTTCAATTGGTTTGCCACTATTGTCCAGACCACCGTGTACATAAGACGAGTTCTTGCCATAAAACCTGAAAGACAAAAGAAATGTTTAGCTGTACTGCAGTAAGTACTACACGCAAGGGATTTCTGCAAACTCACTTGTGTCAAAAAGCTGAATACGAAGCAAATTCTGACCTGTGCAGGTAGTCAGGAGCCTGGTTCAGCAGGGTGTAATACTGTCGGACAAACTCTCGCCCGACAAGCTGGGCACTTGGCTTCTCCATCACCATTTCTTTGGTCAACTGGTTTCAACTAAAACAAAATGACTCCTTAAAATCTCCTCTAAAGAAGAAAGTTGCCTCTTTTTTTTTATACCCTCATAATGTTCCAAACCCATATGACTTTCCCTGAGGAACACAAAGGGAACTGTCAGGAACCTCTCCTTTTGTGTTCCTCAAGAAAAGTAATTTGGGTTTGAACATGATAGGTATGACCATTCACATTCCTGGTTTAACTTTTTTTTTTCTCAAACTTCAGCTGCTATCGAGGTAAACTACATGTGGTGAGGGAAAACCAAGACAGAGCGTTCAAGTGAAACTGAAACGAATCCCTTTGTTAAGCCCATTAAGATCGAAACGCAACGAGGCCGTTTAATGTCGATTCCGTTTCTATAGAAAGGAAATAATGTCACACCCTATAAGAACAACATCTAAATCCTCGCAGATCGGCTGATCATCGTGTAGGGTGGTACATTTCTGCCAATGGAAAACTGAGTTTAATCAGATGGATCCATTGCGAAATGGACTGAAGTAGGCCCGAACGCCACACGCCCCGTTATTATCACAAGCCCGGTTCCTTTGTGATCACACCGAGACATATGATGCTATTAAAAAACATATATTTATTGAGGTACGTTCACAATTTAAGCCAAACCATTGGTTTTCTGAAATCGTCATTCATGAATAAGGCACGTGCCCAGGACTTTGACGCATTAGCTCGGATGAGATGATCGTTATCTACAGTAAACGACCACATTATACACGGAAAATGAGTTTAAGTGAACTTAAAGGGGAATACAGCGTAAACGACGCGTCATGTACTTTTTTTTTTAGCGGAGTAAACGCGGGATCTCTCTTTGACGGAAATGTCGGGGAAACGCAGCTAATGTAAAGCTAATCCACAGAGCGTCGACCAACGGAAACCCACCCAGCGGCCTGACGGTGAGATTTAGCCGCTTCAATCCTCGATTAAAGCGTAATATTTATAATCCTTAAGGTTTTATGAGGAAAACCGGCGAAATCGTAGCGTTACATAAAATAAATCCGTCACTTAAAGCACATGGCTATTAGCTGCGTAACCGCTAACCACACTACAACACAAAAATAGGCTGCAAAGAAATGTTTTTTTTTTTTTTAATACAACATATTAAATTAAATAAATAAACTTACCAAGAGGGAATCAGTAATGTGTGTTTGGGTTGAGTTTGAAGTAATTTGAGTGCAGCAGCTCCTGCGCTGGTAGCTGTGATGCTTTTAGCTCAGACACTGGCAGCAGCGCGTGTGGCGAACTGCCGGTTTAACATTAGCTGCTACTAAATCAACGACCCGACTGATAGCAGAACCCGACAGCCAATCAGATCGACGCATTGGATTTACGCATCCTATCAGCATTCGAGCTCTCGCAAAGTCCCCCAAAACAACCAATTAACGTCAACTATACAGACCGCTCGCAACCTATTAAAAACGAGAGTGAAAGGACGGCTCTGAGCAAGGTTGTTAGGCGCGCACGGACGTGAACAATATGGAGAACTGTTACGCAGCAGCTGGTGGTGTTGTTGCTTTGAGCTTTTTTGTTTGCCAAACTAACGCGTTGCCAGGTGATTTTTATGCAGATTAGAAACTGTGCACCACGAACTAGCATTCTAAGTCATGTGAGAAAACATTAAAATGAAGAAAGAGCGTATTTAGGTGATTCTTAGGACGCGTGGGAAGGAAATGTGCAGTGCAGGTCTTATTCACTTCAGAAATCAAAATACATTAAAATAAAGATTTAAAGCAAGGCATTTTTTAAGACCATTAGCTTTTTTGCATTGTCATATTAATTGTATTACAACTAAACATTTACCCCTTTCTTGTTATTAAAATATTAGATAATAATAACAATAATAATAAAGTTCAAAAGCGTTCTAATTACCGCAATTTGAAAATAATTTCAATTTAAGTATAGGCCTGTTTATATATCTTGGTTATATTCGTTTTACAGACTTTAATTTATGCTGATTAGCAAATGTTATGCTATATTCACTTAGCTAACTATAAATCACAGTATGATAATATTGCTTTACTGCAGGTAATGTGGGAGACTTTTTGCAATTTTTAATTGTGTATCATATTTCCACATGAAGCCAAAACAATAAATCGAAATCTTATATCATTATGAAATCCCCAAGATGTTCCCTTTTAAAATCAGAGGAAATGTTCAGATATTGTACTTAAAGGGGTCATATGATGCTGCTAAAAAGAACATTATTTGGTGTATTTGGTGTAATGAAATGTGTTTATGCGGTTTAAGCTTCAAAAAACACATTATTTTCCACATACTGTACATTATTGTTTCTCCTCTATGCCCCGCCTTTCTGAAACGCGTCGATTTTTACAAAGCTCATCGGTCTGAAAAGCGAGGTGTGCTCTGATTGGTCAGCTATCCAGTGCGTTGTGATTGGCCGAATACCTCAAGCGTGAGACGGAAATGTTACGCCCCTACCATACTGTGATGCCCTGTCTGGCCGAAGCGACGAGACAAAAACATGAAAAGCCATTATAAACGAGGAATTTGTTGCATCCAGTGGGGACATAAATACGGATTATAATGACTTATACTGTCTTTTTACGCATTGCGTTGCATCGCGCCGCGTAAACATAAAACCATGGCTGCATTTGTGATCGGAGAAAT